CATCGTCGTTGTACGCAATTATCGAGTGCACCTGTGACTTACACCGTACACGAGGACGATGCAGCCACGAAATTGAGTCTGATCTCCGGAACCACACGACAATGCACAAACCAGCCCAGAAATCATACCTTTACCTCCTCCTTCGCAAAAGCCGTCCTCTTCATCAAACTCTTCTCATCCTCACCAGCCTCAAACCTCTTAACCATCTCTTCAGGATCAAACCTCGGCCCCCTCGGATCCTCCCCAAACTCCGCACTGGTCATATACGCAACAGCATCCTCCTTCGTCTCAAAGACATCCACCTGCGTCTCGATTTTGCCGCCGTCCGGGTCGCGGTAGTACATGCTCGTCGACATGCCGTGGTTGACGCACCAGATAGGTTCAATACCTAGGTCCCTGCGGGCCTTGTAGGACTGCAACAGGTCGCCGAGGGAGTCAAAGGTTAAAGCGAAGTGGTCCATGCCGACGGTGTTGTCTTGTCGTGGAACGGCGGTGGGGTCGTTGAGGATGGCGAGGCGGTGGTGTTCGTGGTCCCAAGTGAGGAAGGTGATGAGGGGGCTTGAAGCGGTGATTTTTGCGTCGAGGAAGGTTTGGTAGAAGGAGACTAGCTTTTCGGGGTTGGCGGTGCGGAGGACAAGGTGGGCTAGTTCGGAGGGTTTGCAGACCCCGGTAGAGGCTTTTATCGCCATGTTGTCGTGTCGTCTTGGTTTGCTGTGGAGGTGTTTACACGATGGATGTATGATGTGGTGGTGATATGGGGATGATCTGCGGGTGGATGGTCTGGGGAAAGGGAACGTGAGATTTCGTGTGGGGTAGCTTGATATTTAGATTCTACCTTACCTTAAGCTGAGAGTGCAAGACATCTGAAGGAGCTGGTCCATCGTCATACCTTTGTGGAACGTAATCAGTCTCGTGGCTCGCTCAGTATGGCTCCATGTCTGCTTACGAATAGCATCTCCGAGTGGCTTGTTGCGTCCAATATCCAAAGTCACAACAGTCCGTGGACGGGTGCGCCACTTCGGAGTTTTGGCGTCAAAGGCCGTTGCCGTTGGACGAGTCGGGTGGATGAGGACCCGGGCCGGACGTCCGCCCGTAGTCGTACAGCATCTCTTTGAACCAATAGGGTGGTAAGAAATGTGTCATGTCCTCTGACTGTGACTCGGGGCGTTTTCCAGATGGAATGATGGGATGCTTTTGGGACACAAAAATGTGGAGGGGAGGGATGTCGGGACCGAGCTTTTGCTTCTCGGCGGTGAATGGCGCCCCGACTGTCCGTCAGCTCATGGCGGCGGGGTAGGAATAAGTGCCCGCCGGTACTTACGCTGTAGCTGACACCAATGATGCAGCTATTACGATCCTGAAGAAAGCGAGTCTGAAGTGAGGAGGTAAAGTGTTGCTTACCTATCTAATTGTCGCAGCTTGCAGCATTCACCCGACTTGAATGTTGTGCCCGGACTGTGATCAGCCGGGCAGTTGGAGGGGTCGGCGGGGCTCGCAGGCATCGGCAAGGCAGCCCGGGGAGAGCCACCAACGGAGCCACAGGGCACCTTTTAGCGGCCCCACCGTGCCGTACCGGGCAGAAAGCCGACTTCAAAGCTCCCGTTAGCCCCCGTTGCTGACTGCATACAGTGTAAAGCACAGCATCACACCGAAGCATTCTTTGCGCACACAACAAACGGTGGCTCATCATCCAGCCTGCTTCAAGCAAGATGGGCATCAGCCTCTCGTATGTTAATGATACGTACATCATGGGAACTACCAAGAATTAGGAGGAGAATTGCCAACCGCTCGCCGAATTACAACAGTTGGCTACCTCATGCATAAGGCGATACCCCGCGGCATTCTATTCAATCCCGCAAAGTAACAAGTCATGCACTTCCACAAGCCCAGCACCCGCGAGCCACCCTGCGAACTCATTCCTGACATACCCAAGATCAGGCCGACCAATCTGGTCAAAGAGGCTGATCCGAATGGTCTCATCATTCTCGGTGTGGCCGTTGACCATCAGCTCAACTGGAAACGTCACATTGCGCGAGTAAGTCTTCTGACCCAAATTCCGTGAACAAGTCTCTTCGTCTAACATTATCTTGTAGATCAAGGAAAAGGTACTTTCCAGAATGGAATGGATCAAGCGCATATCAAAGTCCATCTGGGGCCCGAGGCTCGAAAGGATGAGGGAGCTCTATCTCAGCAGCGTGCGTCCCATCATATCGTACACTTGTGCAGTCTGGTTTGTCCTCGGTGACTCGGCATCCCGGTTGTATCAGACCAAGCAGAAGCTTATCCACGAGCTTCACTCTCTTCAGAGCGAATGTCTTGCCTCCATCGCAGGCGCATTCAGGAGGACATCGAGTCTCATGCTACACAAGGAGTTGTTCATCATGCCAATCGCCGTCTACCTCCACCAGCTCGCCATGGCACATCGAGCACGTTACATATCCTATGATGAATTCAAGCTCATTGACACCAGATCTTTCCCCTACAAGCGGAGTCTCGCATTCCTAGCCTTACATCCGTACAGGGCCTCTTACGTCCACGCCAAGGTCCTCGCAGAGAACACCAAGCCACCGCAATCAGTCACCAAATACATCAAACACCAGACCAAGGTGCTCAGTGCCAGCTTGTGGCGGGCGTATCTCTTCGAGCGTACCGGGTCCAAGACGGCGCACCGCGGCCTCAGTGGCAAGCCTGTCGCCATGTCCTCTCCATGGGGCCCGAATAACTTCAAGCCATATAGAGAGAGGGCTTTCGCGTGCCCAGTCCACCATTCTCTTCCAGTGCAGAACTGGCTTCATTGGACTGAACTCTTACCTCCATCCGAGAAAGGTATGTCTGCTCCCCCCCCCCCCCCCCCCTCTCCCAACCTATCCCTCAATTCATCGCTGACACGGTTGTTAGCTCGCCGAGACGAGCATGTGCCCTTGCGGTTTGGTAAAGCACACGGTCGAGCACCTCTTTCTCGATTGCCCGTTGCTCCTCAAGGAGAGGCGAAACCTACCGATCAAATCCTTCGCTCACACCGACCCGCCCTGGCGTAAGAAAAAGAAGCGTGATGAGGTTTCTGTCGGGGCTTGTTACAGACATGGATCGCTGTACAAGGCGAGTAGGGCGGCCCACGGAATGCTCAACACATCTTGGGCCCGAAAAGTGTCCATCGCGAAGCTTCTCAACGACTTTCCTTATGAGGCCTCCATGTGGGCCATTCACAACTTTGGTCTCGGCCAATTCGAGTGTACGGACGTGCACATGCTCAACGGTCCGTCCATCAAACATCCTGATCTCCTCTTCGCAGGAACGTAGTGATTAAAGCAATTTATTCTACTATGAGTACGTCGTCCTTCATTTTCATCCATTTTTTTTTCCCTCTCATCTTTCGATGTGCTGATAACTCGCTCTCTATCAAGGAGATCTTGGCGCTTGTAGAAGCTCCCCCTCAACTTCATCAACTCGCCTACCATTCAGTGAGTGTCGCATACCCACCTCTGACAGCGTTTCTCGAGCTTATATCTGCCATCTCCAGAACTCCCACTCTACGAAGGTCTTTTGTATGGCCTTCTTGACTTCGCCGAGGTAGTCTTGCGTCGTGTTGTCGTCGTAAGTCTGCCCAATCACATAGGGTATCTCACTAGAGGGACATTTACTAATCATTGGAAACAGAACAAAATACTCGAAGTGCTGTGCTTCTGTCGGCGTGTAGTTGTTCCGCTCGAAGCTACTCTGGTGTCGTTTGAACTCGTTCCTTAAGACATTCAGATCTTGTCGACCTTCAGCACCTCGTTCGATAGAGAGCAGGAAGACGGCTACTCGGCAAAGGAGTGAGTGATCCATATGCTGTCAACGCGACAATGCCCCTTGCTACGTATACTGATATCTTGCCGCAGCCGCCACGATGACGAGCGCATCCTTTTCAGTACTGAGGTCTGGGCTGATGCTGAGCACAAAGTGCTCTAATTCGGTTCTGTATTTTCGGGCTGTTGAGAGTGGTTTATGTCGCTTGTTGGTGGATATGTTGATCGTTGTGAGTCCTGGTTCACCTGAAGCTGAGGTGGTTGTGCCTGTCCTAACAGATGCGCCCTAGCTGGTCATCATCATCTTGATACAGGAGACGTGATCCATCTTTGCGCTGTGTAGAGTGGTTGAGAGGATGGATTGTCAATCATAGGCATGGTATGTTTATTCCATCTCTCGGGTTGGTATCGCTCTTCACTCAGCTGACACATTTATGTTGCCCTGGATTGCAGTTCAGTTTCTCATTCTAAGTACTTGGCAACTGATGCCATAGAGGTGTCTTTCTGTCTAAGTTTTCTCATCTTGAGGCCATTGAGGGTAAGTCGAGCTCTTAGCGGCCTAAACCCTGCCCACTCTTAATGCTGACCATTGATCACCCACAGTTAACTGTGAACCCGGATGATGAAGAGGTTATTCAACAACCCTGAGATCTTGAGGTTTATCTTAAAACAATAGTGTTCAACAGCATTGAGTAGATGCTGCAATAGTGTGATTATTCGATATGTAATTGTGTGGAATTCTTTTTTTTTTTTGCCCATTAACTTAAAGGGGCGGAGGCGCAGACGTATATAATATGACTACTACATATTGCCGGGAAACTGAGTGCCAACCTTGATGATGTGAATGTGGGAATGTTTAAACCTATTTTGCCAGCTCACCTATCACTGAATACATGCCCCCTGGTTGTCAGACTTACGCACTTGTTCCCTTCTTTCGCGTGAACCTCAGGCGGCCTCAGTCACTACATGTAGTGGTAACCTCGCGGATGGGTAGCATTGGATGACTCAGATACACCGCGATTGAGTTCGGCCATAGTTCAGTTCCTCCACCTTAGCATGTACCTGTTCGAGACATGATGGTATATAAGTATTACGCCACGCCCCGCCCGGACTGTTGGAGCTTTCATTCTCATCCTCCCTAAACACCCTCGCCAGCTTGACTTGCACATAGCTCACTGCGACGCCCCATCTTCAACTTCCACTGTTCAGACAATGGTTTCTGAATCCACTTTTCTTTCCCTCCCCCGTGAGGTGAGAGACGAAATTTACGGCCACTACGTCAGAACAGACTGCGGATACGTATGTAACTCGGAGACCTTAATCGCAAGAACGCTAAACATCAACAGCTCTGGCAGCACTGACGGCAACCTCGGTATCATTGCGGGCGTACTTGAAAGAGCCGACGGTCATCCTATTGATCTCGGGCTGTCGCTCACCTGCAAGCTTGTGGCCGACGAGATGAGAGGAGTTGCTCTGCGCAAGAACACAATTACATTTTCAACTGCTACCTCCGAAGAGCTGCGTATCGTTGCTCTCCAATTCGATATCTTGATAAAAGCTGTCGACTCGAGCCAAGAGTATCTTTTCCATCGAGCAGGATACACTATACCACAGATTGCCCGCGATCGACTGAAACTGGCCTACCCACAACTGGCTCCTCTGCTTGAAGATTTAAAAGAAGAGTATGAGCTGGCTGATACTTTGAAACGCCGTGGACCCTTCGGCGAGGCACCGTCACGATACCGGGCATTCTGCAAAGAGGCATTGGCAGCCTCATCTATCCCCGATGTCCCTGAAGTTTCCGAGAGGCACTATACTTGGGCGGATCCCACGAGAACGGGCCTCGACAGCGAGCCACACGATGCCCTTCGAGTCGCCAAATGCTCCGTCCACCACTGGGCCATCCCCTCCGAAGAAGTATTAAACGACTTGGCAAGCGGTCTGGACATTGACACCAACGCTCGGCTCGCTGGCGCAATGACGACAAAGGATCGTTCGAACTATCGCTTTTCTGCCGCGGCAGCGGCAGTCTGTTTCCTGCAATCGATGCCTGAGGGAATGCAAGGACATCTGCGACGGATCATCCTCGACGAGGACCGCGAGGCAGTGGCCAAACCACAGTGTCACGCGCTCGGCCTGATTTCCTTCTGCAAGCAGAACCCCGGCCTCCGGATCGAGCGCCGGGTTAATTTGTGGCGGAACGCCTTACTGGCAGACTCGAACTTCAACACCCCGTATACCCGCCATCAGGCCAAATTCCGAACCATGACCCGACGCGAACCAGTACCGTGGGGCGTAGAGGACAAGCAGGTCACCGCCAACGTCTCGCAGTGGGTCATGGAAGCACTCGCCCTCGCCTCTGCGGGGATGCCGCCTGCATCTTTTGCTCTAGTTCTTGACGGCCAGCCGGCGCCCCAGCTGTGCACGGAGATATTCCAGACGACGATCCAGCGAGACGTCGCGTGGCAGGCGGCCTGGCTTGCATCGGTGGACCAGGGAATCGTCCCGCCGACGGAGTGGTTCCTCACCCGGTTGGTCGTGTTCAACAAGCTACGAGTCGCCCGCAGAACCGGGTACTTTTACCGGGGATTTCCTCGCGCCATGAGAGATATCGTCCAAGGGACATCAATCGTGAGGTGCAATTTTGACCCGGGCGAGCTGTGGAACGTCGACCGGATTGTGCAAGATCACCGGGCTTGGACCCCACAGCAGTGGCAAGAGGCGTGGGCCGACCACGAGCCAAAGACGTGGTTTCCCGTGGCGCCGCTCCCGTACTTCAAAGCACTGCTCGAGGAGGATTTGGTGCCGCGATGTGGCAAGAAAGAGAAGTTGTCGAGGTCGCGGCGATCGAGAGGGACTGCCCACGAGGGTGGTCACGTCGCACCCGCGCCTCGTCAACAAGGCGCAGGTAACGGAGAAAACCTGATTCTCAGGTGGTGGGTGCACCGAAACCATGCGTTGAAGGTAATTAAGGAGAACCTAGGACTTCGTCTGGTGCTCAATGTAGTCATAAGTGTGAATTTAGGTTGGTGCTGTAGTTTGTCGACTGCTGAGGGATCGCCGTCCTGCGACCAAAGGTCTCGGGCCCTAGTCTCAACGTCAAGACTGATGTCTAAGTTATCCGGTCACATGACAGTAAATCAATGCTGTGTTAAAATAAACAAAGACTGTCACTCTCAGCAGTTGTACGATTACCCGTTCTTTCAGAAAATGTAGAGTTCTAATCGACACGAAACGTGGGTGTGAGATGGGTTGAGACTTCGATGTCACAAACCTTTCTTGCATCAAGTTGCGGGCCGCCGGGAGACTGCTGGCCACCTGGAGAATGCGGCCGCCATAGGTCACGTACAGGTGCTACCTACAGCAGCATCACTCCCATCAAATTCGACTCACGAAGACTGTCTCTGCGGTTGACCTTCATCGTCCTCTGTCCACCAAAATTCAGTCTTCTTCTGGATGCCTAGTTTCAGCGGAATATCACTATCCAGGCTCCTCGTCTCCGACCCTCTTCGACGAGGTGACCCAATCATCGTCGAAGGCACTTCAAAGCGGTCACCTCGGAGTTTGCTATTGAGATACACCGACTGCAACGGGTCACATCTGACCGTTGACCCTGGAAGTGTCTGCTGCGCGTTACTGTTGCTGAAGAAGTGGACGTAAATGGACCTTGATAGAGCGAGGTTTGCGGCGATGATACCCAGGAACAGTTCGAGGTTTGACCAGATACCGGCTATGCAGTATGCCCCTGCAATACAGTCGTCAGTCTTTATTTCGGTTGGTTCCGTTGAGGGTAGGGAAGGTTGGACGCACAGCTCAAGTCCGAGGTGGAAATTCCCAGTGATGCTGCTCTAGCGACGCCGAACCCGGTCGCCCTACAATACAAAAGGAGAGACTGTTAGTTGATGTGATGTCTTTCATAAACACTCAAAATCGCTTCGAAGAATCTCACATAAGGCCTAGTCCCATCAAGCAACAGACAGATATCTTTGTCTGTCGAGGGATCTTGACGTTCCAAATCACCACCAGGGGAAGTAATGAGCAGATGAGGTCCGTCAAGACCGAGTATGCTATCAACTCTGATCAGCAACCAAGCCTTGGAGTTTCCGCAATATGTTGACCACACCAATTGTCGCATAGATGAAGTAAATGCGGATGTGTGTTGGCCAGCACACGGCTGACTTGCCCCTCCAAAAGCCAACGGGCTGACACTCGGCTATCAAAATGATCACGACCCCGAAATTTGTAATGAGGACACCAGCCATGATGACGTGCAGCAAGCCCTTTAGCACCTTGGTATCTTTGATGCGAAGGATCAGGAGACAGATTGACACCTTCAAAAACGCCACAGAGATGAAAAGCAGCATCTGTCCCCACCAGCCGTACATGTTGATCATCATGTAGTCATGGTCGCTTAGATAGACTCGGTGTCTGCCGTTTCCGTGTTTCCACTGCAAGACAACGAAGGCAAATCGTATGATTGCCGTTGCCCCTGCGAGAGCAATGGTCAAGTCGTCCCAGCCGAGCTTTCGGTTCGCTGCTCGCACCCATAGTCGGAGGCCGGTCGTGATAATGAGGAAGATTGTCAGGACGAGGGCGAGAGAAAAGGACATTGGACCGGCATCCTCGTTCGGCGGCAGTGAATCATCTCGAGGGCCTAGGTTCATCGTCGTGGCTGCTGTTTGGAACAGTCTATTCACGCAAGCGATATCGTCGAGATCGTGTTCAAAGATCAGTGGCACGCCGTCGCGGCGTTTCCAAAAACGCACCTGACGGAGGGAAATGCTGCCATCTCAGCAATGGCTAGATACCAGTCATATAAGTTAGCTTTGTCGGACCATACCCTTGTGCCGTTTGGGCATTCTGTTTCAAACAAGCCCGCCGCAGAACGCATCAAACAATTCGTCCGCATATTTCAGGAAGACTGCAAAATTCAGTGGCGCCCAGATGGTGGCTCTTCGGATTCCCCCCAGATATCGCGTTACCACTCGGCCGGCAATGTGACTCAGACATGCAGAATCGACATTAGGCTTCCCGTGCCTGTTCTTGTGAATGTAAAGGGATGGCCGCACGACAACCGTCCGGAATGCGGAACCCGCTCCGCTCCCGTGCAGGTTCGACATCTCGAGACCTCGGATCCAAGGGAGTGTTTGCGCAGCTTTGATTACACCCTGGCTTCCGCCTCTTTGGGTTTATGACTCGCATGCCCACAGTTTTTGTCTGGGCATTATTTAAGAGAAAAGAAGGCGATGGCAAGACTCGGATCATCAGAGACGAGTTGACTTTGTGCAGAGATAACCTGTTCCAGGGCTTAGGGTCACACAATTCTTGTGATGGAAGGTGCCGATGTATCTTGAACCTAGAAGGCTGTGAGTACATGCGCTACGAATTGGGAACGAAGCCCCAGCCCTGAAGCAATGTTGAGTGTTGTGTAAGAACATTGGTTCTTAGAAGTCAAGTATGCAAGTTCTCCCAAGCCCCCATAAGCTCTTTTCAAAGCTAGGCTCATCCGGTGTTGAGGGTCGTGTTACCCAGTCAGCTTGGAAGTCCGATAGCGAGCCCTTCCTGGGCCGTGGGGGATAAGATCCTGGACATGGCGCATAGTATCCGTCCCATATACTGTCGAGATTGTCCATATCGACCTCCTAGTCCGTCTCCAGTATTGTTTCGGCAGAAGATATTATCTTTACCTGTGCTAGACAACAATCTTTGTTCGGGCGTGATTCTACCAACCCCTCAGCGTGAGGCCAGAAAATCAAAAAAGCAGGGCGACTGCAGTTCTCATAGTATCCTGTACATTCAGATGAGATGGTAGAAGTATGTAAGTGAGTGACATAGTCTCTCCCATCGCCATAGTTACTTGTCTTTCTTCTCTTTGATTGTTCGATTGCTACGGGTAGAGTCTTCAGCAAAGCCCAGCAACCCCTTTACCGCGCCATCTTGGCGCCTTCTCGTGCAACCCACACAAACCTTGTCCATGTAAGCGAATATCAGGCTAGCGGTGGACCTTCTTCCACAGATGCCGCTGTCGCTCCCGGTGTGGAGATTCGTATTGGACTGGGCGGGGGGCACGACCGGGGTAAACTGCCGATTCCTTGCTGCAAAGTCCGAGGAACCCCGCCCAATTCACAACAACTGACAGAGACTGCAAAGCCAGGGCGTCAAGACGATGCAGATTCAACGGTCCATGGTACACCGCGGATAAAGTAGGTAAGATCAAGGTTGCCGGCGCCATTTAATCTCCCTCCGAGGGTTCTCTAGCGTTAGAAGCTCAACTATTTTCGCCCCGCTCGGGAGCGAATGGAGCTTTTACCCGGAATCCCTCCTACGTTTCCTCGGTTGGTTCATCTAATCGTGTTTGATGCTGCGCTGCGTGTGCAAGGGTTGATTGACCATCAGCCAAAACGCCCGGTTGTAGTGTGCCCTGACTCGATTTCATGGGTCCTGTGGAATGATTGACTATTTTATCCCGCGGTTTGCGAAGCCAACAAGAAATTTAAGAGACCCAAGGTCCTCTCATACAAGTAATTGACGGGTCCTTGATCCGAAGCGTCCGTCAAGCATTCGAACCGTCGCATAAGATTGACTCAAGGGGATTTCTAAGTGGTGTTGGGTATTCTGAAAGCCGTCCAGACGCACACTTCCGGCGACGTTTGTGCCACCGCCGGGCCCGACAGAGTATGCATCTTCCAGCCCTATCCGCCATCTAAGCCTGCATATCCGCGTGGCTCGCTTGATTAAGATCAAGCTCCTACCTCGTGTAAAGCTGCCTCGCACGAAGGTCTCAATATACCAAAATGTTACCTATCGCCTCGGTCCTGGCTCTGTTTGTAGCAGCGGCGTCAGCAGCGCCTAGTCAGCCGACTGACAAGGCTTTTGACTACGTTCGTGCTCTCTAACCGCTCTTACCGACCCAGACTCATGATGCCAATTAATCAATGTCTGTACAGATTATTGTAGGGGGCGGGACTGCAGGTCTAGCTCTATCTACCCGTCTTAGCCAGGGGCTGCAGAACGCGACAGTCCTGGTCATCGAAGCAGGTCCAGCAGGGCTCGGCGACGAGCGCATTGAGATTCCGGGTCGGAGAGGTTCGACTTTCGGGAGCAAATACGACTGGAATCTCACTACTGTGCCACAGGAGAGATCCAATGGCCGCATCTGGGTTCAGACAAGAGGGCACGTCTTGGGAGGGAGCTCCGCACTCAACCTTTTCTCATACGATAGGGCGTCTACAAACGAATATGACGGATGGGAGGAGCTTGGTAACCCAGGGTGGAACTGGGAGTCGATGCGGTCTGCCATGATGAAGTCTGAGAACTTTACCTCGGCCAATACCCAGTACTACACCGGGAGTGAGGGCGTTGGCAATGCTGGACCTATCAAAGCTCTGATCAACCGGCTTATCCCCAAGCATCAAGCCCCGCTGTTCCCGGTCATGAACAGCTTGGGCATCAGAACAAACCTCGAATCATTGAATGGTAAGGTTCTGGGCGTTCTGTATTCGCCCAACAGCATCGAGCCGACCCACTACAACCGATCCTACAGCGCAAACTCCTACCTGCCCTTGGCCGGTCCAAATCACTTCGTTCTCACAGAGTCAAAAGTTGCCAAAGTCAATTTGAAGACTACCTGCCATGGAATTCAGCGTGCTACTGGCGTGACTCTTATCGACGGAACCGTCCTATCCGCCCGTCGTGAGGTCATCGTCTCCGGTGGAGGTTTACTAAGCCCTTCTATTCTGGAGAACTCCGGCATTGGCAAGGCGGATGTTCTATCTGCTGCCGGTATTGATCAGATCATTGACCTTCCAGGAGTAGGGGAAAACCTTCAGGATCACATCCGCATCCAGAGCTCATACGAGCTGAAGAGCAACTACACTGGATACGATCGTCTCAAGTATGACACAGCCTATGCTGGCGAGCAGCTCCAGCTCTGGCGGGAAGGCAAGACTTCAATGTACGGATATTCTGGCAGTGGATACACGTTCACCAACTGGAATCAAGCTCTTGGTGACAATGGAGAAGCAGCGCTTACTGCTCTTGCTCAGAAGTCGATTGGCGGTTCCGATGACCCAGTCGAGAAGAAGAAACTCCAATGGCTCAAGGATATGACGGTACCTCAACTGGAAATCCTGTTCAGCGACGGATATACTGGTGTCAAGGGATATCCCGCTTCAGGTAGCCCAGGTTACGGCAAGGACTACTTCACGCTCATCGCAGCCATTATGCACCCCTTGAGCCGTGGACATGTCCACATAAACCCTGCCAACCCCTTGGGACCCCCTCTTATTGATCCAAATTACCTTTCGAACGAGTACGACTTGCAAGCGGCCATCCAAGCGATCAAAAAGTGTCGTCAGGTCGCTCTCACAGAGCCTCTCAGATCCACATGGGTTTCGGAGTACGAGCCAGGCTTGAACACCACGACAGACGCGCAATGGCGGGACTTTGCTCTCAAGACCACGTTGTCCATCTACCACCCGGTTGGCTCCTGCGCAATGCTCCCGAGGGAAGACGGCGGCGTCGTTGACCCGTCACTCATGGTCTACGGGACGGAGAATCTCAGAGTCGTGGATGCAAGTATCATGCCCGTTCTGATCTCAGCCCACATTCAGACCGCGGTGTATGGAATTGCGGAGAGAGCTGCCGATATCATTATTAAGGCTACAAAGAATTGATGGGAGGTCTCACCCAATAGTTCCAGTCACAAATCACCCAGAATATGCTGACTAGTAATGACGTTGATGTTCCTATGTAGCGTCCGATGAATCATCTTCTTTCGTGCACGTAGTTTGCTATTCAGAGCTCTTGTTGGTACAACATTATCTACAATAATACTGTTTTACTTTCTTGCCGCAGCAAACTCCTCAAGCCAAGCTTGTACGAACTCCACCTCGAAGCTCTGGGCCTCTTTGACTGGCAACGGTGGCAGGTCAGCCGTTGTCTCGTTCTTGAAAATGCCATTTTCGTCCCAGTGATGGACTGCTCCGCCCGTGATCACCAAGTTGGGTTCCTCGGTGGTCGACTCTGGCCGTGGGAGCCCGATCTTGTTGGGAGTCGCAGATCGCCACGGGTCAGATTCGCCATCAATGATGGCTACGCGAGGGTAGCTGAAGTTGTAACCTCCGTACTTGTTGATGGCTTCAACGTCAGGTAGCGAGGTGATGTTGAAAGCCTTTCGACAGATGACTGTGGAGTAGTTAATGTCAATCAGGCGTGAGATCAAAGGAAGCTGGTCTTCCGGGACGCCGGAGCCGGTCTGGAGGTAACCCCATCTAAACACAAATGTCAGAGTTTGGTCACAAGGATTCTGGGTTTGGCCACTTACTGCGAACAATATTGATAAGCCCACAAACGCCAGGACGCGCTGAGATCATCAGCGGCATACGCATCGTCACTTCCAGGTCCAAAACAGTCGTCTTGTGTCTCCGAGTCACACCAGGACGATGTATAGTTGACGTAGCCAATGTAGTTCTTGAGTCGAGGAACCAACTCTGAGACTTGAGCCTCATAGCCGCCAATCTCAAGTAGGTAGCGAGCACTCGAGTCGAGACTGTCCGTCGCGGGCCACACGAGTTCGTCGGAGGTCATGTTGCCACAGTAGAGAAGGAAG